GGCCGGGACACGGCATCAACAGTATGTGAGGGGCGTAACATTTCCGTCTCACGCTTGAAGTATTCGGCCAATCACAATGCATTGGATAGCTGGCCAATCACAGCACACCTCGCTTTTCAGACCGATGAGCTTTGAAAAAATCGACGCGTTTCAAAAAGGCGAGGCATAGAGGAGAAACAATAATGTACAGTATGTGGAAAATAATGTGTTTTTTTAACATTAAACCGCATAAACACATTTCATTACACCAAATACACAAAATAATGTTCTTTTTAGCAGCATCATATGACCCCTTTAAAAAAAAATACTCAGTATTTATTCAGCTAGGATGCATTAAATTGGTGAAAAGTTCATGTAAAGAAAAAGTTCATGTAAAGAAATTGAGTATTGTTACGAAAGATTTCTATTTCAAATAAATGCTGTTCTTTTGAACTTTCTTTCCTTTAAAAATCCTGAAAAGAATGATCATTGTTTACACAAAAATATTAAGAATTGAAAAATATTTATAATATTTCAATAATATTAAGAATTGGAAAAAACTGTTTTCAACATTAATAATTAATAATGTCTCTGGAGCAGCAAATCAGCACATTAACATGATTTCTGAAGGATCGTGTGACACTGAAGACTGGAGTAATGACTGCTCACAGGAATAAATTACATGTTAAAATATATTCAAACAGAAAACGGCAATTTTAAATGGTAGTTATACTTCACAATATTACTGTTTTACTGTATTTTTGATCAAATAAATGCAGCCTTGGTGAACATAAAAGACTTGATTTCAAAAACATTAAAAAAAACTTTACCAACCCCAAACCGAACTATAGTGATTTTTCTTTTTTTTCTTGGTACAACCAGGTAAATAAAATAATATATTTTCAAATATTCTATGAAAATCTAAGCTTTAGTGTTCTTGAATCTGTTTTTTTATGCTGTTGCAGCAACATAGGGTGTATATTTTTTCTTAATTTCATGTATAGAACACATTAGTACGTTTCAACCGATTTCCCATCAGCCCCTAGTTCTCAGCGAGTGTGTATTTATATGTGTCTCGGGGGTAATGCGCTAAGAACGAACACTAGTGTGGCTGTTTAGTGAACAGGCCCCTCTGTGTTTGGAGTCATGCTGTGATTGATTAGCGTGTGTTTGTGTCCATTATTATCATATCCGCATGTGTACAGTACACGCTCCCGAGAACGCCCGCCTGTGATTCTAATAACATGTCAGGCTTTTTTTTCCCTCTTGATCTGAGAGGTGATATTTGCATATGTGATTACATTGTGTGTTTTCCCTGCAGTCAATGACACTGCGAATGATTTGCAATGGTAATCAGTGGTTGTGGGTAAAGTGACCTTGATGAACATGTGTGGCGTTTATGGTGTGCATTACAAGATGTGACAGCTGTTTGTGAGTGCGTCTTACCCATGGTTTTGAGAGAGGAGTATTTGTTGAAGCCCAGGTTGCTGTGAGGCTGGGACAGAGCCATTGCAGGACTCAAAGGAGGAAGCATGACATTATTCAGGTGGTTATGCTCTGAAGGAAGAGAGAAAGCACAGGGGGAGAAGGAGGACAGAGAGGAACGATGGAGCAAAGAGGAGAGAGAGGGACACAAGGAGGAGGGGTGCGTTAGTAAAAGGGAAGTCAGCATATTTATAGAGAGATGAGTGCATGTGATTATACAGTAAAGGAGAAAGTCTGCCGTTAATTTCAGCGAGTAAAGGGGAATGAAGGACATGCATGAGTCTTATAGCTCAGAGGTTCCTGTAGACTCTACAGTGTAGAGCGTCAAGGTCGTGGGTTCAGTTCTCAGTGAACACATGAACTAATGCTATGTATAGCTTGACTTTAAATGAAAGTGTCTGTTGTATAAATGTGTGTAGGCTGCTGTTCCATAACGTCACAATCTTAATGAAGTTCTCAGTTATGTTTTATGTAAGTACACTGCAAAAAGTTTTTTAATTAGTCTTTTTTGACTTTCTTCTCAGTAAAAATAGCTGTAAAAATCCTTAAAACAAGATTAATTTACTTGAGAAGTGGCAACGCGTAAGATATTAAGACTAGTTTTTAGAGAAATAACAGCATCTTTAACCCTATAAAGCTTACTGTATTACTGTAAGCTTACTTGTACACCAAATTTTAAAAGGCCTCTAAATTATCAACATGATCAAAAACTTGAAACCTGTCGTATACAATTTGCTATGTCTTCTGTCTAGATTATACTTTTGTATTAGCCAGTATCATTCTAAAACCACATCATGTGTCTTTTTGGTGTGAAATCTTTAATGATTTTTGTAAAGTAAATGTAAGAATAACTTTTATATTGTTAGTAATATTTCAAGATGAACACTTACTGGACTGAAGCAACTATAGGCTTGATAAGGTCCACACATCATTTTTAAGTATGCATATCAAATATGATGCATCAAGTTTTTGAGGAACATTTATTTGTTCATCTCAAAAATCATCGTTTTATTGCATTGCATTATGTGTTTTGTCTCCACAATAAAAACAAAGTAATAAAAAGTACCGAACTTTGATCATAAAACTAAGCATTTAATTTTCATCTTCCTAAGACATCTGACTATAGAGATATAAAGTGACAACTGATATGTACGTAGTCTGCTATATTGTTCTCAAAGATCTTATTGGTTTACATTAAACTGCATCTCGTTGTCACAATTACAAGCAACCAGAATTCCATTTTTTTTTTTTTGTTCATTTTTGGCCATGTACTGTAAATATAATCATCTGCACCAAATGGCATATTTTTGCTCAGTTTGAGCCTCTGTATAAAATTGAATACGAGCTTCTTATTCTCCTACTGTATGTCATACTAAATGAGCCATCGGATATGATACTCGTATGCAAAAACACATATGCAAACTTTTTTAGATTTTATATTTTGTCTAAAGATTCAATAAACTCTTCCATTTGGAATAGTTTGATTTGTATGACTATTCTTTCATAAATCAGGCTTTACAGGGTTGGTGCATATGTATTTTGTCTTCATGCACTGGTGGATTTATTCCTGTTTCAAGTATAAACAAGTTAGAAAAAGGGAAAACAAAATCTACCAAAATATATGACAAAATATGATAACAGTATTGATATGAAATGTCACTGCTCAAAAAATGATTCTTGTTTAAAGATTTTTCTAGATATTTTAAACTGGAAAACAGTAATCCCTTTTGAGAAATAAAACAATTGCGACAATTGTTGAAACGTAATACAAGCTGCAAAATTAATGTGACAGCAAAGCCTCAGATCAGTTGGTCTTGGAAGAATTCGATGAGAAATGTTTGAGTTCATATAAAGGACAGTGAACACCCACCAACTTTTCGGCAGTTTTGGTTCCGGATGTTTTTTGGGTTTTTTTTCCATTAATTTTCTTCACAGGTACTGCCGTTCAAAAACAAGTTTCAACCAAATCCAACCATCTCCGACATGAATCACAAGCAGAAACGTGTTTAAAGATCAAAAATACAAAGGTAAGTGACATAATTTAATGTGGGACTAGTCCACATAAGACCAAATACTTTAACATTGTCATGTACATTACCATGCCAATCCCTCCGAGAGTTGTCATGACAGAAATGTAATTTCTGCATGCATTTGTGTGTTTATTTGTTATGCAGCCTAATGCATTCTGATCATTTTAAAAATGATAAATAAATACTTTTCAATTATGTTTATGGCGATTATTGGTGGCTTGCTTTCTTTTGAGATTTACGGATAGTATTGCTCATCACCTAGAATTTGCCTTAAAAAGCAAAAACAAACAAACACAAGTTTGCTTTTTTTTTTTTTAAGTTGTAATTACACTCACTGATGACTTCAACAGAAGCATTTCCAGAATCTGACTGATGCTGTTTATTGTGAATAGATTCATGGCTAAAGAGCTGTTTCTTCATCATATATGCAGCGTTGTATTGATCAATAAGCATACTGGAGCTATGTGCACTAAAATATGTAAAATACCATGTTTTATGCAACTTAAAGACGTATTTCTTCATGTCTCTTGCACAGTGTATGTCTGTAGTAAAGCCTGGCTGATTTAGACCCATGTCCTCCTGTCAAACTCCACACCAACTCAATCTCATTCACAACAGGAGATCTGTGTGTTCCTCCAAATTAATTCTCTTTGCGCTCTCTCTTTTTTTTTAACAGTTTTTACATAATCATTCTATAATGATAAATATTTTGTGTTATGGAGACTATATGTCTACTGTTCATAGTAAATCCAAGACTTTTATGTCAAAAGAGCATGTTGTTCATTAAAAAAGGCACTTTAGTAATTTCAGATTTTAGTTTACAAAATCAGTTGTAAAGTAAGTTGTGATCAGTTGTGTACATTTGGGTATTGTGTTACATATGTTGTTAAATTAATGTTTATTGCATTTTTTAGTGTCGTGTGTTACCATGATGGTGTGTTTAAGGACATATAGAATACGAGATCTGTAACATTCCATACCGATCTACTGTAGTGTTTTCCTCTAGAGGCTTGTTCTAGAATAGAAGTGTCAGACTTCCAATAATTCAAGGTGTGACATCTTTTCTCAGTTTCTTCTGAGTTTTTCCAATTCTTCTTATTTTCGCTGTCTGTTATGTTGTGAAAGAGAATGGGTAAAATAGAGTCTGGTAGTGTTTGGAAATACGGATAAGGTATTTCCAAAGTTTCCAAAGTATTTCCAAGTGATAACGTTCGGGGTTCAGACACACTCTCTCTGTTTAAATCTAGATTAAAGACACATCTCTTTGGCCAAGCATTCAAATAATGCATCTCATAATCTTGGACTGCAGTTATATCTGATCAAATTGACATCCCGTGGTAACTAGGATTTACACAAGCTTCAGTCTGGATCCAGAACACCTGAGAAGAGATGATGGCAACCCCTCAGAGGACCTCAGATGATGCCAACCATGAAACAACATACAGAACTACCACATTTTGCTATAAGTTTGATTGCATCATATAATAATCGCTGTTAATAGTGTTCATCGTCTGTTTGATTACGTCTTTAATTGATTGTCTTTAATTGTTTTTTTCCGTACATTTCTGCCATATGTACATTAACTGACAGTCACCACTGATAAGCTACCACTAAATATTGCAGAAACTTAATTTGCTGTAAAGTTGCTTTGCAACGATCTGTATCGTGAAAAGCGCTATACAAATAAACTTGAATTGAATTGAATAAGGCGTCAATCAAGCAGAGAGATTCTTTAATTAAAAGCGCAGATTTTCCACTCTTCCCTTCAGTAGCATAGTAACGAATGTCAGTTTGTAATTGAGATTGGTCAAAGGCTCTTGCATGTGAAGTGATTCTCCAATGCAAAGGGTGTCAGTCCTGCTCTTGGCCATTTACCATCCTGGAGAGTTTGGATCCACCCTGCTCCAAAACGTCTGTCTGGAATGTCCTAGTGATCCTTAAGATCTTGATCACCTGGTTCAGATGTGTTTACAGTTTTTTTTTCAACTGCTTACACACATTTTCAAAACTTTGCCTCTTTTTTTCCCCCAAACTTTACACACAAATCCAAGAATTGCACACACAAAATGTAAATATTTGCATTTTGTTTTGTTTATGCGAATAAAATGCAAATAACATTTCATATTTGTATATTTCAAAATATATATATTTTAAAACACCGAGCTCACAACATTATTTATGCTGTTATAATTTTGCATGCAGTGTAAATGCATTCGTGCTATATTTCAGCTATACTGTTGAACTGTGTAAATGCATCTGATTGCCACTCCAGTCACTTCTGTTTCTTCTGCAGTGGAAAGATCGATTTTGTAGATACTGATTTCATATGATTGGTAACAGACCTATATTATCTTATTATATTAAGTGAAATTATTAATAAAATGTAAGAATTTGATATGAAAGACGATACATGCATTTAAAATGGTTAAGGACAAATGCCCTTTAAATAGGTCAAAAATGACCTGGAAATCAATTTAAATAAATTTTGTATGCAGTATTAAGTCATATAAAACGTAATTTCCCAACAACAAATATGTGGCCAGTGAAAATGCTGAGTGGCTAGTAAATTTGTAAAACCACTAGCCACTGGCCGGTGAGCAAAAAAGTTAATGTCAAGCTCCGTTGACAAATAAAGATTTTGTGTGTAAGCAGTTGAAAAAAAAAACTGTAATAAGATTGAGGCTAAACTCCAAAAAGTTCCAAAGTTCCAAAAGGGTTTTTTTGCAATGATGCCAAAAAAGAACAATTTGGGTTACCCAAAAAAAACTTTCAGACATTTTTTCTTAGTGTAAAGAACATTTTAATAATCTAAAAAGCCTTTTTCAACTATAAATAACCTTTTGTGAATTGGAAAGGTTCCATGGATGTCGAAGGTTCTTCATGAAGCCAGAGATGCCAATAAGAACCTTTATTTTTATTTTTATATTTATATTATTTTCTATAGAGTGTAGGAAGGTGGCCCTCCACCCTTTCTATAATGGCTGGCTATGTTCACACAGCAGCAAAATAAGCTTGTTTGAAATGAAAAGTGTTATTCTGTTC